ACATAAAGCTAAACGTATCTGCCCCGCCCTATTTGTATATATTTCCGGTGGATAAAGAATATCTTAAAGAACGGCTTCGACAATGAACCATTCGACTACCGGAATGGCGCAATCGGGAACTTCTTCTTCACCGGTAGTCGTATTTTCTTCAGGTAGGGTTACATATCTCAATACTAAACAAGGTTTCATGCTGACCTTTGCCTCCCCTGGAATCAATCCACCTGCGACGTCTGTTAGTTACCTATGTAGTGTTTATTTTCGAGTGGGTCGCGTTCAATTCAACAACTGCTGTCTGCCACGCGTATGGAATGCTATTCTCCTTCTATATTTGAAGAGCTGAAATACATCAATACTCGTGCGCTACTGGTCCTTCAGTGTAATCTTTTCTTCTTCTAACGTTCAAGCTTTCGCTAACCACGACCTTATTATCACTAGTACCAGCCCTTTCTCTACCTACTCACTGACGTTCACATTCCTCTAAAACACTTTCCCATCACCACACCACCACCCAGGAGTATGGAGGCGGCCATCTTCCTGTACTCCCGTGTGAGTGGTATCCACGTGAACACAGCAGTCATACCGTGCATACGCACCAACAGCCGGGTGGTGTTGGGTGCTGAGTGTATGGACGGTTCGGTTATCCGGGGTCAAAGTATGATCTCTCATCCCCCGTACAAAGCCAATAGCCAGTTGGTGGATAAGGATGACCACAGACCGCTGGAGTCGCCCATACGCCGTGTGTACTACATGACGAATGATGGATCGGGGCATAGCCAGCTGCATCTGCAGGTGGGTTGTGTTAGATGGTGCAGACTGATAGAGAGAAGTGATGCGTTGGTCGGTGGTAGCAAGTGAATGTCAATGGTGGGGTATGGAGAGCCATGTATGCATTCTGACATGGATGTATATTCAGCAGTTGAACGGTGAATGGATGCATGCATTTGAAAATATCCTTGTTTTTTGTTTTTTATTATTATCTTTCTGTCTCCTTGCTTGTGATGACAGACGTCACCATAGTATAGATGTTGGTGCAGACAAAGCCATATATACGCGAATGCCGCATACAGTCGTATGTTCGTCCGCGTTCATTGTTTGTTCAGGGAGGTTAAAGGTCTGTCCATGTGCCAACCCTGCTACACTACGCGAAGCTGCAAAGGTGTGACAAGCGCTAACGATACCCATGACACGGCCCTCGATGGTCTTACCAGGCCAACCCAGCGGCAACCAAACGGATAAACAAATGCCAAGCGTTGGTCTATGGCATGGGAAGCTTCTACACAAGCATCCTACCCAACTTAGTGCTGTGTGGAATGGGCAGTGCAATATCCGCCAGCGATGCGCCAAAGGTCTTCCTGGTCAACGGGTGTCTTGATAGGGTATGATTATATAGATAGATAGATAGATAGAAAGATTGATAGATTGATAGATATATATATATATATATTCCGTGGCTTGTTCGTGTGCATATTACGGGTGCACCTACACAAGCATCCTACCCCTACCCAACTTAGAGTCGTGTGGGATGGTCTGTGTAATTCCTAATTTCCGCCAGCGATACACCAAAGGTGTTCTTGGTCAACAGGTGTCTTGAGGGGTTACGGTATTACATAGCTTGTGTAGGTGAATAGTTCGGAACGCTTCTACACAAGTATCATCACCCTACTCGCCCGTGTAGTATGGGCAGTGTAATCCCCGCAGGGGACATCCTGCACCTGTTACTCGTGAGTGGGTGTGTGACCAGCCTAGACCAACACTGCGTAATGGTACTAAAGGTGTTCGTATATGTCACCAATGGGTTAGAACTACTTGGCAGTTTGTGCAGATGGGCTGTGAAGGCGCGGCCTACACTCTAGCGAGCGTATGATACTATAGAGCTTAGATCCTGAGTATATATAGATATAGTCCTTGCCCTGTAGATACAATCCGTGCCCTTCTCTCTCTCCTAACACGCTGTGCGTGTAAGACGACTCTGTGTCTTGCCATGTGTGCGCCTGCTCATTTCATGCTCATACCTCGCCCCAACACCCTGCAGGAAACATTCGGGATGACCGTTGCGGACATGATCACATCCATAGCAAACGCCCTCAATGGTGAGTCCTGGCTCTGGTCGATGGGACGTGCGAACATGTGTGTTATATGTTGCTGACATTGTTCGAGTGCTTGGTTAGTACCTCTGCGGATAGATGATCGACAGACTATTAAGTGGCTAAACACCCAGACCTTATCTCCGGTGATGTCAGCCATGTGCGGCCTTCTACTGGAAGTTCTACCCTCCTTAACAACCGTTTCTTGCTCGTGTAGGTATCGCACACACTGCGAAGCTTAAGCGTGCACACCATTCCATAGAGCGTGACACACCCCGCTGTGATGCTTGTATCACTGCTTATGTCTTGGCACCAATTACAATATATATATGTACTCTTTATTAGGAAATTTGGGCAACGGCGAAGACCCTGAAGGCCTTGAAAATGAAGGTTCAGTGCACAGGAAAATACTGTCACATCCCGTGAAGTCATATGTCACACACGTCCTGATACCAGAGAAGTCGACTGTGCCGGTAGAGGTTGAACAACTGAAGGTATGTACTATATATATATATAAACACCCGATTGCTCTTGTATATGTAAAGGTATGCACAAATGTTGAACGACTCGAGATATGGACTATTTTCTATGAGATTGTATTTGCAGGTGTATAAGACGACTCGAGATTTGGACTATTCTTTCTGAGATTGTATTTGCATGAGTATAAATTCTGGACTTAAGGTTTTGGATATTCACGATAACGGTGTATCTGAAACAAAGGGCATACTGTTGTGACCTTGACGGCATAGAATACTCCTCTGATGGCTGCGCTTCTGTGAGTGTGTACAGGTGTGACATCTCCGGGTGAACAGTTTAAGTCATACGAGCCCAGCCTATTCCGGCTATTGACGTTCAATAAAATAGCCCAATGTAAAGGAATATTCCCGACTTCTACCTCACCACTGCCGCATTCTGAATATGTGAAAGAAGATGTATAATGTACAATATCAGAAGATTGTCACTCGTATTATAATGTACTCTTTTTTCGAGTCTAGCAACCGGTGATGCAATCGGTGATGCTATCCCGACGTTCGCAGAAATATGTTAAAGTTCTCCAACACCCATACTTCTCACTACAGAATAATTTCGGCGTGAAAGTTCTGTACATTCCCAGCCAGATGGGCAAGCCGTACTTCGACGGACCGTCACTGATGCAAGCCTTAAATAGTCTGATAGAAAGGCCGAACATAGAAGAGTTCGTAACGTCCGTGTTGCACAAGACATATCTATAGTGTCTATTT